GGGGGTAGGAGGGGGGAGAATAGGGGAACTCATGGCTGATATGCAGAACTGAATGGTATTGTAAAATAAAATAAATAAAATTTAAAAAAAAAAAAAGTGTCCACTATCAGAAAGAAAACACAATTTAGAGAATGTGGAAGAAAAACCACTGGAGAAAATGTTAATTAATATAGTCACTGTTGGAAACAATATAGTGGATTCTCAAAAATTACAAATAGAACTGTCACATGATCCATCGATCCCGCTACTGAGTAGGGACATACAAGGGAAATCAAATCAGTACCTCAAAGAGACATTTACACTCTCACATTTATTGCAGAATAATTTATACATCTGTGATATGCCAACCTACCAAAGGATGAATGGACAAAGCAAATCCAGAACAAGGTTCACGGACACAGTGCAACAATATCCAACCATTTACTACAATATGGGTGAACATGGAGGAACACAAGGGGAAAAAGCTAAAGACACAAAGACAAATGGTGGGGCTGGAGAGATGGCTCAGAGGCTAAGAGCTGGGATGGCTTTTCCAGAGGTCAGGAGTTCAGTTCCCCGACAGCTCACAATGCCTGTAACTCCAGCTCCAGTGGATCCTTTACATCTGGTCTCCGAGGGCACCTGTGCTCATGTACGTATAATCCCATACAGAACTTAGAATAAAAATAATTAATCTTTAACAAAAAGACAAATATCTACCATCTCACTCATGCCGAATCTGAAAATGTTCTATCACAAGAACAAGTTAAATGGTGGCTGCAGTAATGGAGGTGTGAGTACTAGCTGAGGTAATGGGGGTGTGAGTGGCTGAGGTAATGGAGGTGTGAGTGGCTGAGAGAATGGAGTGTGAGTGGCTGAGGGAATGGAGGTTGAGTGGCTGAGGGAATGGAGGTGTGAGTGGCTGAGGGAATGGAGGTTGAGTGGCTGAGGGAATGGGGGTGTGAGTGGCTGAGGTAATGGGGGTTGAGTGGCTGAGGTAATGGAGGTGTGAGTGGCTGAGGTAATGGAGGTGTGAGTACTAGCTGAGGTAATGGTGTGAGTGGCTGAGGTAATGGAGGTTGAGTGGCTGAGGTAATGGAGGTGTGAGTGGCTGAGGTAATGGAGGTTGAGTGGCTGAGGGAATGTAGGTGTGAGTGGCTGAGGTAAGGGAGGTGTGAGTGGCTGAGGTAATGGGGTGTGAGTGGCTGAGGTAATGGAGCTTGAGTGGCTGAGATAATGGGGTGTGAGTGGCTGAGGTAATGGAGGTTAAGTGGCTGAGGTAATGGAGGTTGAGTGGCTGAGGTAATGGGGGTGTGAATGGCTGAGGTAATGGGGGTTGAGTGGCTGAGGTAATGGAGGTGTGAGTGGCTGAGGTAATGGGGGTTGAGTGGCTGAGGTAATGGAGGTTGAGTGGCTGAGGTAATGGAGTGTGAGTGGCTGAGGTAATGGAGATTGAGTGGCTGAGGGAATGGAGGTTAAGTGGCTGAGGTAATGGAGGTTGAGTGGCTGAGGTAATGGGGGTGTGAATGGCTGAGGTAATGGGGGTGTGAGTGGCTGAGGTAATGGAGGTTGAGTGGCTGAGGTAATGGGGGTGTGAGTGGCTGAGGTAATGGAGTGTGAGTGGCTGAGGCGGGATGTGCAGCATCATGGTTGAGAGTGGGAGATGTAGATCCATAAGGGAGTTGGGAAGATGCTGATCAAGAACTACACAAGTTCAGCTCCACAACACAAGTTCCAGATACATCATGCAACACAGTGACTATGATTAATGGTTCTGAAAGACTCAGAGAGTAGACATTAAGTGTGCTCACTAAAGCATGTGACAGGTAGATTGAGACATCCCAAAGGACATAAAGACTCCAAATTATCATGCTGCACACAATACCAAAATTTTGATCTAAAAAAAGAAAAAAAAATTCTCTTCTACATTAGCACATTCATTTTCATTTCATTGTTTTGAGGTAGGGTCTTACTGTGTCCCCCAGCTAGCTTGGAACTTATTGTGTGGACTAAGCTGGCCGTAAACATACAGAAATTCTCCTGTTTCAGTCTCTCAAGTGCTGTGAATAAAGGGTATACCATAAAGTTACCTTTTTCTTTTCTTGAGTCATTTTCTTAAAAATACAACCAGTAATCATATTATTTCTAACACACCGTTGTATTACAGAGAGCTGAAGAGAATGAATCCAAAGCAACAGCTAAAACAGAACAGGAAACAGAACAGGCCCTTACTGTATGGCTGGCACTGCACTAACAGGCTTTACTACGGTCATTCTGAGGTACATGACAAGGCTAGACATCCAGAAAAAGACAGAACTTAGACTCTAGCCGGGACACACAGATCCACATCTCCACATTCAACCACATCATTGCTCGTCTGGATCTGGCCAATATTACCCGTTTCCACACACAGACACCCTAAAAATTACTAAAAATGACTCTCAAAGATGTCAAATTTAGTGCTATTACTTTCCCACTCCCAAAATCCTCATTAGTGAACAGAAATCGCCTATCACTTCTATTCTTTCCCTGCTTTGAAAAGAAGACCTTTAAAATAAAAAGTCAAGGGCTGGAGAGATGGCTCAGAGGTTAAGAGCACTGGTTATTCTTCCAGAGGTCCTGAGTTCAATTCCCAGCAACCACATGGTGGCTCACAACCATCTGTAATGAGATCTGGTACCCTCTTCTGGCCTGCAGGCTGAACACTGTATACATGATAAATAAAATCTTTAAAAAAAAATAAAAATAGGGGTTGGGGATTTAGCTCAGTGGTAGAGTGCTTGCCTAGCAAGCGCAGGGCCCTGGGTTCGACCCTCAGCTCCAGAAAAATAAAATAAAAATAATAAAATAAAAATAAATAATATAAATAAATAAAAAGTCACCTAATGTGTAATGCCATCAAAATACTAATCAATTTAGCAAATCGGGGTTTGAAAGCGCTAACGCTAACCTCTGGAGGTTCCTATCTATCTTGGGCAAATGGAGTGATTGTAGAGAGAAGACGTCAAGGATCTCTGAACCGATTATGTGAATATTAAGTGGAAAGGGAGGGGACAATGTAAGTTAAGGGCCACAGTGGCGGAGCTATCAATTTACATCTTCCTCCTTCACTTACTGACAGTTCTATATTCTGAAACTACAACCTCGTTCCTCAAACAGGAAGAAAGAGCAAACTCACTCTCGAATCTTAGAAGTGCAGCAATAGCGTTCGCATTCTTCTCCAGGCCCTCATCTGAGTAACGCGGACTCGGGGAGCCCGGGCAAGCAGGAGATCCCAGGCTGTGCATCCGAGCGAGCGAGCGCTCTCCTCACTTCCCACCACACTCCCGATGGCCAGAGCTCTGAGAAAGTTATGGACTCCACAAGCAGCTGCCCTCCTAGGCGACCCTCGGAGGCGCTTCCGGCCTCAAACGCTCGCCCCAAGCTCCAGTCCGGACCTCAGGGGAAGCTTCCCTCAGACTCCGTCCCTGACCTCTCGTCACTGAAGCCTGGTCCTCTTCTTCAGCCCTGTGGCCCTGAGAGAAAGCAGGAGCAGAGAGCGACTGGCAGGGACCCAGACAATGCAGAGAGCTCGAGGTGCAGCGCGCGCGCCGCACCACCGTCCCCACACACTCACACTTCACCATCCGCTCACCCCACATCACCGTCCACACCCACACCCAGGCTCCGCCTTACTCAGTGGAGAATTAGGCCCGTTTACAATTTCTTACTCACACCAGAAAGCACTGACCATCCGCGATACCTCAGTCAGGACACCGGAAGGTGAGCCTTTTGTCCAGCGCCGTGCCTCATGGGAAATGTAGTTCCGGCGTCCAGAAGTACAGGAAGCCAAGCTTCTCGACGGGAAATCCCAGCATGCATTTGTGCCAGCTCATCGGGAGCTCCGCCCAGTGGTTTTTTGGGAGTTCCTACAGGGATGCGCGCTTAAACTGGAGGCTCCTGGTGTGATCAAAAGTTGCTTCCGGCTTCCTCGGTAATTTATTTTCCCTCCTACTGGGTGTTCAGATGAGCTGGAGTTTAAAGTGCTAATTGGAATAAAATCAGATAATTGCTTTGATTACGCCCTCCCTGAGACCCACTGCAGGAGGATTCCACCTCGCTGTGCGATGGTAGGGACTATGATACATTTCAAAGGACTGAACTAAAGTATTGATTGGTTTTAAACGTGGAGAGGACAGACAGCTTACATCAGAGATTTCGGAGAGTCAGAAGTTCTGGACCCGTCCAGGGTTGGTCACTGTCCCTGTTACCTAGATAGGAAAGTGTTACTGAGGGCCACATCGGTATGTGACAACAGAACTGTGTGTTGAAGGATGAAATGATTAACATGTGAAGGTATCCTAAACAAATACAAAAGAACGCTTCGTGTTTGTAGGAAATATCTACTTTTGTGGTAACACGACACTATTGAAATTTCAAGGTGACTTTTGTTGTTTCATATATTTACACAAAATTTTTGTTCATTCCAGAACGTGATAGGAAACAAATTTCAAGGCAATGGCGTGCCTAAGAACGTATCGTATTAAATGAATTATAACTGGCCCTGAACGCCTAAAGTATAAATTGTCAGATTAGATTCGAAAACAAGTCAGACCCAACCACTCGTGTTAACTACAGAAAGTATGTCTAAGATTAAAGTGACCATCCTCACAATAGTCAAAAGACTCAAGTCGACTTTAAAATTGAGGCAGATGGGGGACAAAGAACATTGCCAGTGATAATAAGGAGGGCAATTCATCTAGTGAAAATAAACTTGGCTAATGTGGTAGCACATGCCTTTCATTCCCAGCAATGGGGAGGCAAAGTCGGGTGGATGTCTGTGAGATGGAGGTCAGGTAGGAGGACTTCAGCTAGGACTGTTATGCCCAGTTCACGGGGACCCCCAAAAGACCACCACAGAGACCAAATCCTGCATGTAAAAGCAAAGAGCCTTTATTATCTTCAAGCTCTGAGCTTGGTCTCTCTGTCTCTCTGATGCAGTGGTGATAGCAGAAAGCCCTGAGCTCAGGTGGTGCAGAGTTTTCAATCACAGCAGAGGCTGAGGTGAGGGGATTTCCAGGGTCCAGGACCCTGATTGGCTGACAATTGTCTAGGGGTATCTGTAAAACAAAAAAAGGTGTGTGCTGGACTCAAGGACATCTGGCCACCTTATCTAATGGTTGGAATGTTTGGGATGTCAGGTATTTCCTCATCCCTGGGTGGATTCCTGGGTGGTATCAGCTTAAGGCTTTTCCTGGCTCTGGGTGTTGCCTGCCAGTAAGCCTTTCACAGAGGCTGTGTCTAGGCCCCTAAGCCTGTCATGGCTGCTGTGTGGTCAAGCTGTTTTGGAGTCCTCCACATTCCCCTCTTCCAAGTACCAAAGACAGAACTCAATCATGAGTCCTACATCTCCTAAGAACCATTAGCTAACAGATTTTTCTAGGGCATCGACATCTATATCTATTGCCATTTTTAAGGCCCTGTCGTTCTGATCTTTGAGTACAACCAGATTATGATCTTATATGATACCTCTTTGGTTCTGCTCAAATAAGGTCAAGTGTCTTATCGTATTGCAGAACCATTTCAGTTAATAAATTTATTTTATTATTTGTCAAATCTATTGACAACTCTGAACCTATTTTCCTGGTATGTCAATGGGCATTATGGTTGGCCATCTTGCCTCTATGCCACGAAGTTTCCTTTTGACCCAGCATTTCAGCCTTTTCTGAACAGGGAACATGGGATGATATATTCTCTTCTGGAAATGCGTCAAGCTGACATTGGGGCGCCATTGTCAGGGCTTCTAAAAGGTTGAAAGGCTCGTGAAAGGCGGAGCAATGGGGCATCTGTCAGAAGCATGTGGCTATCTGATTCTTCAGAGACAGGGAACAATGACATTGGCTGGGCCAGTCCACGTCAGCTTTTAGGAAGACCGGAGCTCATAGTCGTCCAAAGCAGGGTACTCAGCAACTGAAGCTTGGAGGTGTCTGCCAGCCAAGTGGAAATCTGTTGAGATAAACTTAAACTAGGAACAGAAGTTAAAATTTATGAACTTATTTGGAACCCTTAGGCCCACCTTCTTAGTAACTGGGAAGAGTAGGAGTTCCAAGACCAGGAGAGAAAAATATCATCCTTCAGAATAGACAAGTGGGGAAATTCAAGCTGTACTGCTACAGGTGTCAGGAATATATATATCATAAGAACTCAGCTGGTTATGGCAAAATCACTACCTGAAGGGATCAAGGAATTCTTTCAGAGGAAGCCAAATTCCAGGGAGCTTTTGGTGTTATTTAGCTTGTTATATATCCACTGTCTTCTGTTGTGAAAATCATGTGTGCCTTCATAGTTTTCCCAATTGATTTTTCCCTAAGAATTACTAACAGTGTGAACTGATCACTCTTTGGACATGTATGTTCAAGGTATTTGGAGAACAGCCTCAGGAAAGGCTCCCTTCCCCCCAGCCCATCCATTTCTCCCCTTTCAGCACTGGAATCAGATATCTCCCTTAGCCACATTCAAGGACTAACAGTAATAACAGTCCAGACCACCACATGCTAGTCCCCTGATTTAAGATAAATTCCACGTAGGCCTGCGGCGACGGCCCGCGGAGGTAGACGGGCCCAGAAGCAGCCCGCTGAGGTAGACGGGCCCAGCGGCGGCAGCCGACAGGGA